AAGCTAGCTTACGCAATACTCGTTCCCTCATCTAGAGAGAACCGAGGTTACGTTAGGTAACCGATTCGGTATCGCACACCGGACAAGCACATTCTATTCGCACAAGAATTAACTCCTGGTAGAAGAGCTGCACGATGTGTGACTTGATTTATTATTTATTTTTTATGTTCATTGAATAATAGCTCATGTTTGAACGTTAATCAAGTAAAAGTGTATCACGATAAGTCTGTTATTTTGTTGTAACGTTATCCATTGTCTAGGCAACAGGGTGAAGCCATGTACATTAACGAAAATTTGAGACAAATAAATCTAAATTTAATATAAAACTATGCAAATGGCGTTCGCGGCAGGGTTTTGAACAAGGTCCTGAGGCGTAGCTGGGCGCTGAATTGCGCCACCGGTTTTTGTACACTCATAGAGAATAATGTGTTCGAATTGTAAAGACAAGGCGCTGGGCGACACGGCGCTTCTCGTCCGGTGTGCGACCCCCTTAAGAAATGCATGATGGGGGTTTGTGAATAGAATAAACAAGAACAGGATTTCAATCCTGCATGTTCTTCACCCACTATGGCTTGGAAGTAAAAGCACAGTGGTTGACCAATGCAATTCCTGATTTAAAATCATCAGACTTAAGTATGATTTGGATCACTAGGAACTACAATCTAATAGGCAGAAGATTTAAATGGACCACAAAAGATTCTAGTACAGCCCATGCAGAGCAATTTGAAATCGTTCACAATAAAACCAAAAGGCATTTCTGTTCCTGCCATTGCCTGATGTGCAAACTTTTTTTTTCTAAAAAAGCATATTGTGAGGAAGTAGTGGGGGGCAATGGGGACACTCTGGAAACAGTTGAAAGGAGGGTAACACGTTTTCAGAAATACTGTTTCCTGTGCTTTCTCCTGGCTCTACCTTAATGGATCACATGTGTTGAAATGATGTATTGGACAGAGAAGCAAAGTGTTGAAAAACTACACAGGGACTACAAAAGGTAGAAAAGATCCCTCTTTGTAAGAGGCATGAAGACATTGAGTGGAATTTTAGGGGGAAAGGTAAGATGGAAAGTGATTGTTATACCAGTCACAGACAGTCTTGCAGTGATGGTAGATCTCTTATGCAGCCTCACTAGGGTGTCTCAAGAGACTTTCGAGAGGCCAGAGGTCAACCACCCCTTTCCTGACGTGCCATATGTTAAAGGAATTTTCCAGTGCATTGTGGGAGTTAGACCCCTACAACTTTAAAATTACTAACACATACAGCTCCAATGTCTTTCCAGCCAATCTCTCTTTTCTGGCAAAAAAAAAGAAGAAGAAAAAAAGAAAGAAATAGTCATCTTTATAGCCATCCAGAGCTCAGCTGCTCCCAACAGCCTAATTATTACTGGCTGTGAATACTTATACCAGTACAAATATTAGTACTAATATTAATATAAACCACTTCCAAATAAATGTATAAATTATATATAAAATATATATGTATACCTTAATAAAGTATCGTCGTTTATTCCTACATTAACATAATAAATATTAATTATAAACATGTACTATGTTGCAAGTTAAATTGAAATAATTTATAATATATTTACATATTTTTCTCAGTCCTAGTACGCACTCTTGAATAAGAATTAAATGTTTACATAATGAAGAGAAATACTGAAAATAAATGAGAAAGAAGAAGAAATAAGTTAAAGAGTAGAGAAGTCTTCAGCCATAGTGGGTCTTTTGTTTCTGTTACTGTCCCCTCCCCCTTCCTGTTTTTCAGAGAAACTCTCTGACAAGGCTAATTAACTGTTATTAGTAATAATACCCTCTCGTTATAGGTGGTGGCTGTCTGTTAAGCTAGTCAGACTGAGAAGCGGAGGACGGGAAGCTAATACAGACATGGTGGTTGTGCTGCTAATAAGATAAATTGTGGAGAGATTAAATGCTAATATGTTGTTACTCAAGACACGGCAAGTTTAGAAGTAAACTATAGTTTAACTCTTGCCAGAGGTTTTTTTTTTTTGTTTTGTTTTGTTTTTTTGCCACCACCAGCATTCTATGGGTCAATCTAACCCGATCTCACGGGAATTCGTACGAATTTTGAGGTGGCTAATTCGTAACAATTTGTACGACCTCACTTTTGCTAAATCGTACATATTTTACGAATTGGCCAATTCGTATGAATTCGTGTGAATGACCTACCCCTGACCCCGCCCCTGACCCCGCCCCTAAACCATCACGTAGGTTTAGACAAATCGTACGAATTCGTACGAGTGAGGTCATATGACTTAGTAAGAATTAGCCACTTTTTAATCACTCGTACAAATTCATACGAATTGGTTTTGAGATAGCGCTGTACCATAGAGCCCCCATGTTAAAATGCTCAACTTTACAGCAGAAAAAAAAAAGTGTACAGCCTGGTACAAAAAGTGGTTTTGGTCTATATAGCTATTTTTGCACTTCATGACAACTGAGAGGGTGTGAATTTTCTTTATAACTCATCCTTTCAAATTATATTAAGCCTTAAAGTGACAGGTGGACAGTTTCGAGTTAATTAGAGAACAACATAGCCGGCTCCCCTAAAAAAAAATTTAAAAAAACCCCGTCATTTTTACAAATCGCAATAAAATATGAGATGGTTTTCAAACAACGTAACCCAGCCAAGCTGATATATGTCTGTCAGCCAGCGTGTGGGAAACAAGCCAGAAGAAAAATAAACCTGTGGAGGCAGAAGAAATACCATTTCACATTAGGATTCAGGACAGCTATTGACACAGAGCTCTAATTTACAATCGGTTCGCAGTTTCGAAAGTGACAACAGCCTCGAAAACAGCCCGAGATGGCTGAAGTGGTGAATGGGATCAGTTGGCAAAAACCCTGAGGGGCAATTAGACGGGGCCTTGAAGCAACAGTGGGTGGCGAGAGCCTTACGCCACAGATGGCACCAGTCAGCTGCTCTTGGTCCGCATGGACACAGTGGTATGCTGCCTATGCAAACATGCAAACGCAAACAAATGAAGGTATGTTCTTCACATTTTGCCCAGCGCGTATCCCGCACATACGCACGGACGCATGACCACACACAACTTATGAAGTCATGCTTGGCCAATGCCTACGGACACAAGTTCTCTTGTCTCTAAAACATAAAGCCTGTCTATGCATGTCCGGGAACAACAGTATGAGGACAGCCAAAATGGAGTCCCTCAGTTGGCCGAAGTACACTTAAAACATACCTAATGGCATAAACATGAACAACTGTGTGGAAAATGGGCGTAAGACTTATTCTCACGCTTACTCATGTCCCTGTACTACCTACTGCATTTACAGTGCAATAAATCCAGTGAAGGCACATATAATACAGACTATGTGGTGTAGCGCTGGGAATTTGCATTATCAGTCTTGAACAGAAACTACATTTAGTATGCGTATTGAAACTGCATTTAGCACACCGTAACTGCAATGAAAACAGTCACCAAAGTATTATTATTATTTATTCAAAATTACATTTTTCCCTCAAGTTGTTTCAAACCTGTATGAGTTTCTTTTTTCTGCTGAAAAAAGACAAAATAAGGGATTTTGAAGAATGTCAGTAACCAAACAGTTGATGGACCCTATTGACTTCCATATACTACAGAAGACAATGGGGCCTGCTGTTTTGCAATGACATTCTTCAAAATATCCTCTTCAGGTTTGGAACATCATGGGAGTAAAAAAAAAATGCATTTTTGGGTGAACTATTGCTTTAGAAGACTTGTAATTTAGTGTATAAGTGGTATGGACTAATTTTATGATACTTTTACGACTTTTTAGAAACTTTACAACTTCTGGTATCCATGCCTGTTCATTGTTTGGACATTTAAAGTAAATTTCTTTGTTCATCAAAACGAACAAATTTTTTTCCGAGTCATTTAGTTCATTCAACAAACGAAACGAACGAATTGACTCGGAAAAAGGTTTGTTCATTTTGAACAGGAGAGTCACAAACTCATCACAGTACAGAGCAAGGCAATCATTTGAGCTTATAAAACTTAAACTTTGTTATATATTTATTAAATGAGCGATCGTTTCGCTTGACAAGACCCTTATTCATCGTCTGGAATTGTTTAAAGCCCTTTGAACAGTTTGCAGTTTGTACTGAAAGTGTCTTTTGGACCTTGAACCGTTTGGTTCCCACTGAAGTCCATTATATGGAGAAAAATGCTGGAATGTTTTCATCAAAACCTTAATTTCTTTTTGATTGAAGAAAGAAAGACATGGATATCTTGGATGACATGGGGGTGAGTAAATTATCAGCAAAAGTTTTTTGAAAAGTGAAATTTTGTCCTCTTGTGGTGTCCTCAAAACGAGGCTCACGTACATAGACAGAAAAGAACTCGTGAGACAACGTGAGCATTATTGTAGACTACAGCTCTATTTCTTGAAAATAATTTTGCCGAGTGATTATATAAGCAGTTGAATAGTCAGTGTGTGTGGCAAAAATCCTTTCAAGGCCAAAATTTGAAGGCTGGATTTACGATGTGCCACCAGAGGGATTAACTGGCTGTCGCTCATGTTTATTTATTCAAATGTTTGTTTTGGTTCAAGGCTTTTTTTGACGAATGTGCCGTGCGATGGATTTAAAGCGTGTGAAGACTGTACGGATTTCAACATCTCTGCTCCGCTGGGACGCTGACTGAGGGAAACGCTGATGAATATTTTTGACTTTCTTTCAGATTACGCAGGCTCAATGATTCACGTCGGAGGCTTGTCTTGTCACCAAATGAGCAACTGGGCCATAGATTGGCTCTCCGGGGGGGGGGTGCTGGTGTGTTTAGAATTATTGCATGGGCGTGGAGAGGATTTTATTTGTCTATCAGGTGGTATTGGGGGTGAACCCTTAAATCTGACAAATTGCTGAAAATTGCAGACATGCACTCAATCCTGTTTGGACGCTCTTGGCACATCTGGTTGTGATCTTGGCACAATCCCCCTACCCCCTTCCTTCTTCCTCCACAGCTCATTGCCATACTTTTTCCCTACCCTTGAGAAGAAAGAAGATGCTCTCCACTCTCTCACACGTTTTGGGTTGGGGGTCGCGCCTCGTCGATGAGTTGTTCGCAGATGTCTCACATTGAGCATTCCTCTGTTCTTCTCAGCTTTGTGAGCAGTGGGTTTTAATTGAGAACTTGGGAGATGAACGCAGCACTGTGACACCGCTGAACATTTCAAAGGATCTCCGAATCTGGCAGCTGTAAACAAAGCAGATAAAAAGATAAATGTTCTTGCATTGGGCCCATACACAAATGATTAGTTGCCTACTTCAAAAGCGCCATGTTGGGGGCCTAGAATGCTTTGCATGGCCCATTGGGTATTAGGCTTGCCTGAGTGTGCTAGATTACTTCATTTTCTGTCCTCCTACAGCTTGTATACTGCAGATTTTAAGAGTGAACTACCCTTATGCATAGATAATGGCTTTTTAAGTGCAGTTAGAATTAAACAAAGAAGCTTAATAGCAGCTTCATAGGGTTTTCCCGAAGTTTCCATGGAGACAGTTTAAGTTTAATAGACTGTTGGTTCAAGTAATTGAAGAAACCACCTAACCACGACAACTTATGTTGGTAATTTTTTTTAAACATGGTTTTTGACAAGATTCCAAACAAACAAATATACAAGATAAGAGGTAGACTATATTATAGGAACATTTATTTAATTATGTTAATAATTGCAATTCAAATATACATTAAATGTCAAAACATGTAATATAAAAATAATGAATTGATATAATAAATTGGAATCACATAGAAAGCTTTTAAAAGGTCTTGTCTAATAACAGCAGTTAACTTCCAGCTTCACATTGTTTGGCTAAATCTTTCGAACATAGCTGCTGAGTTCCTGAGCTCTCAAATTCCTTCTTTCTCAGTTTCCTGCCCTCAAACCAGCCGACCCCCTAACAGACCCCACCAACAACCCCCTCCCAATTGAGCCCATTTAAAAATGATGATGTCACCACTGCTCTGCTTTCCTTAATTTTTGCACTTCCATTGTTTTTAAATATTAACAGGTGCTGCACGGTCTCTTTTCCCAGCCATCTCGGATACTGTCACATCTGCTTCAGTTTGTTCTGTCCCTTTGTGAATTTGTTAACATACATGTGTGTTTCTTCGACAGACAGACAGACAGACAGACAGACAGATAGATAGATAGATAGATAGATAGATAGATAGATAGATAGATAGATAGATAGAAAAATGACAGACAGACAAATTATAGAAAGACAGAAAGAGACAGAGAGAGATAAATGACAGACAGATAGGTCGATAGCTTCCGTCATAATTCTGTTTTAAAATGCAACTGATAAACTTTGAGGGGGATCATTCCTTCTGAATCATTCTGCTTTCATAAACTTTAAAGCGCAGAAAAAAATCCTTATGGATAAAACTGCTGGACAGACCCCAGGGGTTTTACAAGCCAGAAGAGACATATAAGGCATTAACTAGAACTGTTCTGAATGCCTTGCACTGCAGCTGTGCACTAGCGCTACACAAAGCAGAACGAACATGATACACATTTCCAGTCACATCGTGGGATGCATAGCTGTAACAATAGAAATTCTGTTCTCCGAAAAAGCTGTGCCCACTCCCGCCCCGTCCCTCAAGGTCCACCCTACACCTGCTGCATGCAGTGAGGGCGAGGAACAGCTGGGGGCACGGTGGGACTGCATGTGTGTGAATGCATAAGTTTGTGCTGATGTATGTGCATGTGTTAAGCTTTACGCGTTTGTTTATCTGTTATTGCGCATAGCCATGCGCGCGTGGAGACTGGCATGAAGCGCTTGCTGTCGCCAGAGGCTTTGGTCGGATGGATTCTTCTCATACAGAGAGATTCGGAAAAAATGTGAAGCGAGCGAGAGATTACGCGGCTTCTCCATCCAACGCCATCTCAAATCCAATGGTGCCATGATGCTGCTACTGTTTAGGCCCCTTTTGTCCATAGAAATGTTTGTCATGTCTTAAAGCATTGTCGCTATAGCATGCGTCAAATTTGGTCCCTGGATTCATCAATGGAAAAGAATGCTGGTTTCTGTGTGAGCACGAAATGTGCATTAGACTGAGGATTACTTGTTGAAATAGCAATGGATCAACTCAAAGGCAACACTGGCTTGATTTGTAATCACTGCCATCTGAATGAATGGCCAGAGCAGCTGTCTATTTGAACAGCTGCCTGAGCAAAAAAAGATTTTATAGAAACTAAAAAAGAATCTGGACAAAGTTAGCACGCTTAAAAACCTTGAGTGATGCAGTTTAGCTTTGATAGATAGATAGATAGATAGATAGATAGATAGATAGATAGATAGATAGATAGATAGATAGATAGACAAACAGACAGAGAGGTAGGCAGGCATATAGACAGACAGACAAATATATTGTTGGTTTAACTTAAAAAGATTAAGTAACCTGGTTGCCAAAAAGTGAGTTAATACAATGAAGGAGATTGATTTAATCATCAGAAACTCAAAAAATAAGTTATCTGAACTAAATAAATTATTTAAGTTGATTTAACAAAAGAGAAAATGTTGTGTGACAAATCTTGATTTTTTTTTTACAGTGCAGACAATTATAAAATAATAGATGTCCCATAAAGTATACCGGCAGATGCCACTTGAGTTTAATTGCTGCATCTAATGCAATGCCAATCATTTTAAGGTGTGACTTAAGTGTCCAAATACTTTTCTGAGCCCCTATACATTTGCTGTAAGACTACAATGACCATTGTAGAATATGGGACGCTGGCCAAAGACGACATATGTTGTCAAATCCTTTGAATGTGTATAAATGTGTGTGTGTGCTAGTGTGTTCAGGATTTTTTCATCTTTTTTTTCCAAACCCGCCCTTACCCGATATGTAGGAATTAGCGTACATTGCTTAACTACAAACCAACCCTAATCAAAGTGCCGATTCTTTAAAAAGACAGCTGTTGTCATGTGCTTTAATTCACAGCTATCTCCCTTTGTCAAGCAAAGCTGGACACAGTTGTCTGGTCGAGGCAGCAAGGGAACAGGGGTTAACTGACTTCTCTCGGTGAAATGGTGTTTTACACATCCATGCCACATGCCCATCAGTCACAAAAATCAGAGGTAAGTTCCATTTCATCTTTCTACCATTCGCTTTGGGACTAGCAATGCCATTACTCATGTCATTCGATACTTAGTGGCCCTTAAAGTGAACCCTTGGTTGTTACTACAGTAAAGCTGGGTTGCCTGTGGTGCTGTTTTAGGATTTTAAGCCTGAAACTTCTCTGTTATGCACTTGAGTTCAGAAAACAAATGCTTTAAATGCAGAGTTTAGTCAATTTATATATTTTTTAGTATGAAATATGTCAGTGTCAAGCATTGGAAAATCTCTGTCATATGCATTTTAGAGTTTAGACAAACTTGTACTAGAAGTTAAGTCACCTAACTGACTCTTTTGTCTTAATATTACAACATAAAAAAAAAAAAAACATTTTTTTTTTTGACTTTATGATTTGTGATGTGAAATTATTGGTGGATTTTCTTCTATCCACAAGGAATAGCATAATGCAAATTTTAATGAAATGTATATCTATGAATTATTTATTATTTTAATATATTATTGTAAATAAGTTGAATTTTATTTAAAATAAAATAAAAGTGGAATCTTAAATTTACTTTAAATATTGTTAAATATTTCTTACTCGCCTTCATGTTGTTCCAAATCTGTCAATTTTTTCTTTAAAAAAAAAAAATAATAAAAAAAAAAATTGGTTGTCAGTGTTTTACAATGGTATAAAACAGATGTCATTTTTTCGAAAGGTTGGCAAATCAACATTTTATCAAAAAATGAAATAGTTTATTACTGTAAATTTCAAGTTAAGTCTGTAAAACCATTAACATTCCTACCGTATTTTTAACGGTAAAGTTCTGGCAACCACAGCTGCCGTTTTTTTACCGTAAAAATTACAGTTTTATTTTTTACAGTGTAGAAGCAATGTATGTTTGTTCTTTTGAGTCAGATCTTTTCAACAAATCAGTTTACAAAACTGGTCGAAATGACTGGTTCACAAATGGGACTGATTCGTTTCTTAAATTCACCTAACTGACTCAATTATTTGGTTGTAAAGTTTAATAGTCCAATGGAGGAGACGATTATCCGTGAGTAACTACTACAGTAAAGTTTTAGCCTATTTCTTGTGCAAATCTACTATTTGACAATAGAAGATTTGGAATATACGTAGAGCTCAAGTTGTAGAGTGTACCACTTTTTGAAACTTGAAAATAGGTTGAATAGTGAGCTCTTCATTACAGAGCAGTTTGTCCTTTCTTAAACTTGGTGACTGGAGGAGTGGCACAGCTGCCATCCACTGAGATGAGTTTGGTAGAGGTAAACTTCAGTACTTTAGGCAATTGAAAAATCATCGGCTAAGGCCAAAATTCTCAAAAGATGAATACAGCTCTATCGAATGTATTGTGTTCCCATGGCTTGAGCCCGGGGCTGGACTTGAAGGTCTGGGAGTGGGAGTCGCGTTTGATTCCACAGATTTATTTGGTCATAGAATGCTCCCACAGCTGAGAGGTTTGAAACGAGAGCCTGAGCAGGTGCTGTTGTGGGAGGGAGAGAGAGAGCGAGAGAACTTTAAGAGTTTTCATTGCTTCCCTCTTGCATTTTTCCCTTCTCGCAGTTATTGTGCCGTGTACTTCATAGAAAATGTTTGAAAAGACTATATGCTTAAGAGTCATTTTCGAACTGCAATTAGTGCATGTAAATATGCACTGTAAAAATTTTTTTTAAGTACAATCAATTTGGATGTTGAGTCATTTCAACTTAAATTACATTTAAATTGTTGTAAAATGTAAAAATATATGTTGTCACAACTAAATCATACAAAGTTTTACTAAAAAGTATTGTTGGTTTAACCTGGCTGCCTTAAAAATGTAAGTTCATTGAAATGGAAGTTGATCGAACAAATGTAGGAAACTTGAGTTTACACTAAAAAAAATCATGTTGGTTCAACTTAAAAACATAAGTAACCTGGTAGCCTTAAAATTTTAAGTTCGTTGAAATGGAAAAATTGAATTAATACAATGAAGGAGAACTTACAGTGAGTCTACTGTATTTATATATAAAAAAACGTTGATCAAACAAATGTAGGGAACTTGATTTTAAGAAAATGTAATATTAAGTCAACTTTTAGCCCATTTGGAATAAGGAACTCACCCAAAAAAATGTTGTTCCAAACCAGTCTGGCCTTCTTTCTTCTGTGGTACACAGAAAATATATCTTGAAAACGGTCTCAGTGTTTTCGGTGTTGTTTTGGACCCCACTGATATGGCTGGGGAAAAAAAAAAAAAAAGAGTTCTTCTTTAAATAAAGAGACCTTTCAATCTCCAGACCACACCTAAGTTGCTTAAACTTATAACCAAAACTTGTTTGAGTTAGATAAAACATCTTGAGTGGACTTACCTTGAAATGTTTTATGTTGTATGTATATGGCTGTTAATCGGAAACCTAAAGTTCAACAACAAAGTGTTTTGGATTCACCTATTGTCAGGTATGGATGGAAGCAGCTCAGAGTTGATCCCACAGATTGCCTTCGCTTAAGCTCAGCCTTTCTTAGAGACGAGATCTAAAGCTTCTCCTCATTCTGCCTTTGTTTACTTCCTCTATCTTTCTTCACCAAACTGAGAAGACCTTATGACCCTGACTCTAAGGTTACTTGTGTGTTTATCTTTTTAAAAAGAACTGAGCTTGACACTATGTCAACAGCATCTCTTGAGCAGAAGGAAACAGCTTTAAGGGGGAGTGAGAAGAAAAAAAGGATTGGTGTTTGACAGCGCAGCACCAAAAATTAGGTGCAAATGCTTACTATTTTCAGTCTGAACCCAACAATGTCAGTGCACAGAAACTCTTTTCAAATGCAACTACTTTTCCAATGTACTTCAAGTGCAATCATTACAAATTAATACACAACAGCTCTCAGGTAGAAAGCAATCCACTTAGGGCCCACATAGAACTTATCTTTCCGGACCCCCTAGGGCTCGGTTGGGCATCAATCAAGCCAGTTAAGTGGGATCCTTGAGCAGAGATGGTATCAGTGGCAGCCTCTTACAGGCACACACTTCTGTCCCTGTTATCTATGGTAATTGCTCTGAGACTCTATCACCAGTGCAGCAAATCTCTCCTCTGTGACTCAAATGCACTACTGAAAAAAGTTTAGTTTTAGCCTAACAGTGTGGGTAAACACATTTTTAGGCCTCATTTCTCACAGTTGCACAGTTGAAGGACACTAGACTCCACTTTCAACATGGTTTGCACAGCTGTGGAAAAATGTAAAACGCATCATGCGTTCGTATTTTTAAGAGGCTTCAAAAGCTGTGTCCAATCAAACCTTTTGATATTTTGGCAAGTACATAGAATAATACAATCTAGTCTTAGTTAATGATAACAACTGAGCAGGACCTGTCAGTGGCCCAATATTCCAGTGCCCTCCATACCAAAATGTGATGGGCCTAATAAGAAAAACAAGCAGCGCGGTGTGGAGCTGCTCCCACAGAGTGAGCACCTTAATGAGGACCATATGGAGCTGCCCAGACATACAGTCAGTGGAAACCCAATGCCTCTTCCTCTTTTTCTTCCCTCTCCTACTCTCCTTCTGTCACTTCCCTGCCTCTCTGTCTCTCACTCTTACGTCCACCTTCGAATTTATAGATGAATAAAACTTCAGGCGATTGTTTTCTTAATGATTACGCGTGCAGTTTTTTCACCATTAAAAACGTTCGCCAGCTTAATATGCAGAGACAACTCTAAGTTTGTAAGTCCCTTGAAAAGTGTAAACACCGGCTCTGTGGTGTAATGAAAACATTGCTATGTTTGTTTTAACATCCCGACTATCCCAACTAGCCTGACCACAGCAACAGCAGCTCAACCAATGGTGTGAGTTCGGGCTGTTTTTTTTTTTTTCCAGCCAATGACAGATGAGGGGAGTCTTTGGGAAACCTGTTAGAAAAGAATCAGTATTCAATTCCATTGGCTAATGGTTTGTCTCATTTTATTTCACTTCTTTTTCTTACCTTACGCAGAGTAGGAGTTCTGGGCTTTTAGCAAATGACCTTCTTCTCCTCTCTTCCCAATACTTCATCTCACTCTCTGTCAAAAAAAAATGTAGTTTCTTTATTTCTCTGGTTTCTCAAATGGAGACTCTCCGTCCCCTCTCACTGGCCTGGCATTCAGTCCTGCCATGAAGCGGATGGCTAATTTTACCAGACTGACCTCATTCCACTATTGTATAAGAACAAGTGAGTCAGTGTCAGGAGAAATGTACTGGCTTATCCCTTCTTTTCCGTTCCTTTCTTTTCTCTTTCTCATTTTTCTTTCTTTTTTTTTTCCTGATTCATCTTTGTAATTGACTCCCTCCCTTCTTGTTTCAACCAGAGGAATATGTATATTCGCTTGGTCATGCAATGTAATATGCTCACAAATGTGGAGGAAAGAAAGAACCCTTTCTCCGCCCATCAGCCTTGTCAAGTCGTCTACTGGGTTGAGGTGCTTGTAAGGGGCTCACTGATCCATCCACCTGAGTGAATGAGGTTTTTGCTTCAGTGGCCAGATTCTGAATGATGCCTCTGTAGTATCAATACCACTATAGGCCTGAGACAGGAATGACTTCATGGAGCAGTCAGTTCTCCAAAATTAGTATTTAGTCATTACTAGTACCATTGCCCATGCACAGATTCCTGTAAGGGAGAATGAAATGCAGTTAAGTCAGACTTCAAGTGATAAAAACCAACATGTGAAGATACAAAAATGTAATAACAATGTAATCTCAATGTATTTTAAAATAATATATATTTATACTAGAGCTGCACAATTATTTGTTAAATCACTGATCCAGAGAGATGATTTGTCATGTATAGGTATGAAATAGCTTCACAAACATTATTTTCAACCACACAGTATCGTTATTTCTTTGTTACAAACATTCGAAATGAATCATTTATTCAAGAGATTTGTTCAAAAAGCTGATGCATCCCATCACAAAACAAGTCAAGTCTATACAAATGAGTCATTGAATCATTCATTCATTCAAAATATAAAATAATAATTAAAATTAAGTAAATCTTTTTTTTTTTAAAAATAGACTGCAGCACATTTTGTCAAAACCTGTAATAAATCACACATTAATTTGTTGGGTTGTCTATTCAGAATTGTGGGATAATTGTAATCGATCATTTTAAAACAAAAGAAATCGAGATTCTCAATTAATCCAGAATCATGCAGCTCTAATATTTATATACACACATATAAAAAAAAAAAGAGTTATTAAATCAAAATTAATGTATACCTTTTGTGTTTGCTCCAAGGGTACGGTTTCAATGGACCCTCAAAACCCTTTAAAACGGTAAGCAATATATTGTTTTGTTTCCATAATAATGTAACCTCATATGTCAAAGCACTAACCGCAAACATGATCAAACCGTAACCAGCTCAAAGTAGTTCAACAAATATATTACACTGGAGAATGAAGGATTAGCATCCTGAAGCCCATCATGAAACTGAACCCTCAGGCTCGGCTAAGCTATTTTCATTTCTTCAGATCAGAATAAGCTTTGTAGACTTTAGCTGTCCAAAGACATGCTCTTGAGGGTTATTCCCACGCCTGTTTTGGTATGTTTAATTCTTTATCAGTTCATGCATCTCCGAAAAGGGCATTTTCTATAAATAAAAATAAAGTATTAGTCTGGATTTTACTATTTGACTAAAAACAACTTCATTCCAGGCATGGCAACATTTAACCAATGACAATCACTGTTTTAAAAAAAACGAGACTTGTTCTGTTGTACAACCTTAAAATTACATTTTCTCTTATTGACAAAATTGTTGATTCTTTGATTTGCTTATGTTGCACTGCATAATTCCTATAAAGACGTGACTGAGCACTTGTCAGCATTCATGGAGAGGGCTGGCGACTAGAAGCTCCTCCCAAGCGATGCTTTCAGCACTTTTCCTTTGAATGACAGTGGCTGGGGAAGGGAATGAAAAAGTTGTGTGATTTTTCGCAGCCTCTACGCCGATGAGCAGCAGTTGGAGAACTGCAATCAAACTGAATGGATTGGCATGGGGAGAAGCGGCACTCTCAACCTGGCTAAGCGGCAGCTTTGGGACTGGATTTGTCTTTTAGTGGTTTCTATGTGCCTGTTACTCCGACCAGGTAAATCTTTTTCCTTTTTTTTTCGCTCTTTATTTTGCATGCACACATCACGGAACGAGCGATGCTATGGAAAAATACACTGTCGTTTTGAGTGAAGTGGTTTAATCTAGTTACAACTATAAAATGTATTTTTAAACTTTAAACGCACTATTTAATGCAATCGGCCATCACTAATATTAATGAGCTATTTCATATGCATTTAGTTTTTCTCTAGGCCAAAGTTGTGCAGCTAACTCGCTAGCAAATCAGCGCCGTGTTTGCGAAAGATGTAACGTTAAACCCAGTATATTATTTTAAATACTGGCAGTGAAAACCAAATGTTATAACTTACTTGCCTTCTAAAAGATGTCCGAGGTGAATCTTTACAATGTAGTACTGGTATTTACGCGTATTGCAGAGTTCAGTTAGATAACGTTATTGTATTAGTTTGGGCAAAACTTTGGCTAACCTGGCTAGCTTCTCGCCGTGTCGATTTTTAAAGCTGTTTACTTCGAAACAGCCCGTGACTGTTGACGATGAATGTGAGACTTAATGAGTAAGGAATAAGCTATGTGTGAACTTGAACAGCAAATATGGGTTATTTACGGTTTACGTTACTAGCGCGTTTTAACCGCCTACGCCTCTGAGAGAGAAGCACGCGCAGGATGTTTTTGTGTGTGTGTGTGTAGCTCAACTGTTTTTAACGTAAGCGAATGACAAAAAAAATTGTATCTACAGATTATTTTTTTGTTATTGTTAAGTAAATAGTTATTAGACTACAATAACAAAACATTCATAATTAATGATTTAATATATGTATTCATTAATAATTTAACATTAGTCATATGTTTAACGTGTATGTAAATGTATACAATTTTAGACTGAAATACAACTTTGTCTAAATATAAAACGCCTCGTGATTTTAAGGGTTTAGGTATTGTTTACAAGTCTGTATGATGGCCCACGAATTCACAAAATATACAATCTGAGGAAAGTTAGGCTATATCAAACTTTTTCTCTCTTTTTTGACATCCTGACAGATCACTATTTTACCATGTGTTTACAAACTTAGTCTAGCTAACTAGCAGGAAAATGTACATGGACACCACACACTATGCTCTGTCTCACACATTTACATATCTTATCACATAGCCTACATTTTGCATTAAATTCCACAGAGTTGTAGTTGTGTGGATGAGGATTAATGTAGAAAATAAACTGTATTTGGCATTAAAATGAACATTGTATTTACTCAGTGCTTCATTACTCGCACAATACACTAAAGTCATGGAAATGCATTGGTCAAAAGGTGTGGAAACCCTGTAGAATACAATTACTGTGTATTCGTAAAGGGAGTTGTTAATATTTTTTACTTATGCTACCGAAATTCTCATTTGTTATTGTTGGGCCTCTATTCATAGCTTGTAAAAGTCATCATATGAAATTAAGCAGTTTCACACCTTTGTTAGACCATAAAGCATTCAAGACGAGGAATGTTTCCTTGGTTTGAAATAGCAATCGCCAGCTTGTAGTTCATTGGTTGCCTCGCGTAGCAAGTAACAGAATGACAAAATACAGCAGTTCTGTAGCTGTTAAAGAGGTTTAGTGTATAGATCGCCAAGCCTAAGAACTTTAATTATGTATATCTCCATCACCAACCAACCATCAAATAATGCTTTTCTCAGTTGTAAATGTGTCTCATTAATGCCTAATTCCTCTTGATTCTCAACAGTGTTCTGCCAAACATGTCGAATTCAGCGCTGTAATGCAGAGTACGTGGCCTCATTCTCACCCTCCGGTGGCTTGCAAGAGGAGGTGCTTCCAGATGTGGACTACTGCATCGCTCTGAGGGCCTACTCGTTGTGTACGCGTCGCACGGCTCGTGGTTGTAGGGGGGACTTGGTGTACCACTCCGCTGTTTTCCGTATTAAAGAGCTCTTTGCACAGCACAACTGCTCAAGCGACGGCCCAACGTCGTCGGCTAAAGCACCCAGCACTTCCAAGCCGCCAGTGGTGGACATCTGCAACTATGAAAGCAGGGTGCTCGCCTCAGGACCGGCGGCCCAACAGAAAAAGTACGGACATTGTGGATTATTCGGCGATCCTCACTTGCGGACTTTTCGAGATGAGTTCCAGACATGTAGGGTTGAGGGAGCCTGGCCGCTCATCCACAACCGATACCTTTCAGTTCAAGTCACAAACGTACCGGTGGTTGAAGGCTCCAGTGCTACAGCAACCAACAAGGTTAGTTGTATAAACAGCCTTCCTGTTCAGAAGCAGTGTCTGATACTCGTTGTTTTATGAGAATGGGTAGTTCTGAAACCCAGTTCAAGTGATAAAAATGTGAAAAACAAAAGAAAATGGTCATTATTTATAAACCTCTTCTGCAGAACACAAAATATATTTAGAAGAATTTTTCATTTTTGTATCCATACAATGAAAGTCAATGGGGTCCAAAACCTACATTTTTTTGGACCCCATTGACTTTCACTGTAAAGAGAAAAACACTTTATTTCAAAATATCTTCTTCCACAGAAGAACGTAAGTCACATTGCTTTGGAAATCACAAGGAAACTGAACTTTTCCTTTAATACCATATAAACGTGAATGCCAAATTACATTAGTTTATAATGTATTATAGAATTACTGATATAGATTAGATTACCAAATAAATGCAACTGAAACTTAAGGGGGAAATGTTATTCCATGGTCCAAAGAAATAGTTCAAACCAAAAGCTTAAGAGAGATAGTCAGTCAAAATATGATGTCATTAGGGGGATATTTTTCTCTCTTCTATTAAGGGACATGGAGTTAGACTCTTGAACCGTAGCGACTATGCAGGACCAAAAGACTATAATAGAATCAGCTGTTTCACAAAGAGTTTTAAATGATTCAGTTTCCAGTTACAGTCAGTTAGTTCCTGGAAGATTAACAGACATGAAGTGTTACGGTAATATAGGAATGACAATGTCTGTGTATTTTCATTAAGTAATATAACACCAGGGGCACATACAACTTCACAGCGCCATACACTTTGTTGAAATCAGTGGCCCCTGAAAGATTTTTAAAGTGTTTATGAGAATAATTGTTTAAGGATTTCTCATTGGCCCAAGAAGAGCTCATAAGCCGCATAGGTCATCGACACAACTCATTTTTATTCATTGAGTTCCATCAGTGCTATTTATTTAGCCTTAAATGTAGTGGATATACTTGGACTAATTATGACTAAATCTTTTTGACAGTTGATGGTTTACAGCTCCATGACCTGAACAGAGTTTTCTAAAATTGTGCCGTTGAATATTCCATTGATTAATCACTGACTTTTACAATAGAGACTGGCTGATGAGCCCAAATTGTCAGTCTGGGGGTTTCTCTGTTCTTCTACTGCCATCATGTGGAGACAACTGTTTTTCCTCCATCTTCTTCACTCTTGCAAGCTCTCTTCCAGCGTTATTCTACTATTATTTATATACTGCTATAGATTATATTTGTATAGTATATATTATATATATATATATATACGTTTTTGTTAATATTTTGAATTTGGTGCTATTTTGTATATTCCTTTTCTATGTTAAAGTTTTAATAATTTTGTTATGTGCTTTAGTAATTTTTAGGTTTCTGTGTGGTTTAAACTATTACTATTGTTTTTAGGTTTAAATTATATTGATTGATTATTGTTTTTAATTCAGCTTTAATTCAAAATGTTTTGGGTAATTTCTCATCCACATTACATAATTTTCCTCATAAAATTTAGTTTCGATTTCTGGCCTTTTCACCATTTTATAAATGGAGACTGAAAATAAGAAATAATTTGTCGGTCCACTCTTACAATGTGAGACAATCACAGCCAATCAGAACATTTTTGATATTTAATACATTGGTATCATATAATTTAACCAATGAGGTCGCTGTTGGTTTGGATGCTTCGTTTGTATTTGTTTTTTGACCATATTTGGCCTAGTGTTGTTATATTTAAGTAAAGCTAAAACTATTAATAATGTTTATGTTAATTGATATAAAGCTGAAATAGGTTTAAGTCAAAATACTAAAACTAAAATTGAAATATAAAAAAGCTAGAAATAATTAAAAACAAAAAAAATGTCAAAAGCACATTAACAAAATTACTAAAACTTAATAAACAATAAAATACGCAAATAAAAGCTAATTCAGAAAACGAATCAACACTATAACAGTATAAATAATTTCGAAACACCACTGACCAGGGCAGCATTTCTCAAAATCATTGTGTGATAAGTTGAGCGTAGAGATCATTGGTGCCAATGGTTCTGCTTTTGAGAAACATAGCCCTAGTTAACTTAAAGGGATACTCCACTTTTTTGGGAAATAGGCTCATTTTACCACTCCCCAAGAGTTAAACAGTTGGGTTTTACCATTTTCGAATCCATTCAGCCGATTTTATGATATTTAGAAGAATATCAGTAACCAGACAGTTTCCAGTCCTACTATGGAAGACAATGAGACCAGAAACGTTCTGGTTACTGATATTCTTCTAAATGTCAGATAATCGGCTGAATGGATTTGAAAACGGTAAAACCCAACTGTTTAACTCTGGGGGAGTGGTAAAATGAGCCTATTTCCAAAAAAAGTGGAGTATCCCTTTAAGATGCGTCGCACCATATCGTTTTCAAAGCAAAAATCAGGCTGCACAAAAACACAATGTTGAAACAATCCTCAAGCCGATTGAAAGCAATTTCATGTATTGATTTTCCGCGTGTGCTATTACTCACCATTTCCCTGTTTAATCTCCCCCGCAGATAACCGTCATCTTCAAGTCCTATCACGACTGCACCGAGCAGAAGGTGTACCAGGCCACCACCGAGGACCTGCCGTCAGCGTTCCAGGACGGCACGCGGAGCGGTGGGAAAGGAGACGGCTTGTGGATCGTGGAGGGTAGCGGAGGTCTAGGCATACGGCAGGTGAAGATCCACGCTCGCTACCTGGGCACGTCCATCATCGTGAGGCAGGTGGGCCGCTACCTGACGTTCGCCATCCGCATGCCCGAGGACTTGGCGGAGGAGAACGGCGGCCTGCAGCTGTGTCTTCACGGGTGTCCCCGCAGCGAGGTCATCAAAGCCCACGTGCTCAACCGGCAGCAGAGCCTGCGTCCGCCGCGACTCACGGGCGGCTGGTACGGGGAGGACGGCGGCGGCGAGCTTCAGCCGGGACTCTCGCCGCACGTGGACATGTTAGAACGCGCGACCACGAAGTGTCGAGAGATGCTGCAGGTGGAGGATGTTTATTTCCAGTCGTGCGTGTTCGATCTCCTCACGACAGGCGACCCAGAGTTCTCCATGGCAGCGTATGGCGCCCTGGAGGACCTTAAGGCACTTCCGCCCAGCACTCTGAAACAAAGTTTGCCTAGGACTCCACCGATTTATAGTACAGGAACGATAGTTACACCTTCAGTTTTCACAGTGCTGGTTCTTCTGCTGCTGTTGAACTGAAGGAGCTGGTCTAGACGCCAGCTTGAAGATGGATACCCAACCAGCCAGACGGTTCCGTCAACCGTGAAACCCTCCTGGAAAAACAATCAAACTGACTTCAAACTGTCTGCAGAGTTAAGACTGATCCGAAAGGACTCACTTCCATTTAAACATGCAGTGTTTTATTTCTTCAGAACGGATGATGGCCTCATGCTTTTTGAATGTGAAATCGACAAAGGCGATCTCGGATCTGGAAACAATGAAGGCAGCTAACATGCATATCTGTTAGGTTATTGCAGATTGAAAAGTGGAAATTGTTGATACAGATGTGACGATAATAGATGAAATTATCGTAAAAGACACGTAGTATGTCCTATAATGCACAACTTTTTCCAGAATCACACGAGTTTAGGCGCACTTCAAACTTTCTACTCGGACATAGGAAAATATATGTTATTTACACCGGATCCAACAACTACATGAAATGCTACCTATATCCATATATTTTTGGTTCTGGGTCCACACATCCACACACAAAGCTACAGCCACGGTAGAAAAGACCTCTTCAAGCTGCTCTGCTTATTAAGGAGAAAACAAAACAAATTCTTTATATAATAATATATTGAAAGAGTGTATATATGTGTTTTATATGTGTACATTCACCTGTGTATAGTTGTTTTAAATGTGATGTTTTGAAGCAGTTTCATCTAGTTAGATAATTTAGTTTGTATTAAACATAACTAATATGTGGTATATTGTGTAATCTGTTGCTTTCCATATTAAAAAAAAAAGTTGTGACTACCTCATGGTCTTTTTTTTCTCCCTGAATTTGATGACTCTTTCCAATCCATAGAGGGTGCTATATAGTTGAAAGTTTGTGTAACTCGACATTTTTCAGGTTTTTGTCCTTAAAAACACTATTTCTTTACACTGGTGTTAAAGTGTCTTACTGGCAAACATGAGAACTTGAGGTAATGTCGTCACAACATTTAGTGCGATTTGTGCAATATGTGCTGTCAGCCATTTGTTATAGCCCAAAATACTCACCAAATAAATAACAACATGAAAAAATAATTTAAGTCGAAATTACTCTGTTATATGACAAGACAAATCTGCAGAGTTAATTTGATAGACCAAAAACTATCATAGAAAAAGCAAAAATAGGTTGTAATGTTTACCATTACGGTTTCCCAGATAGCAAACTGACATTGAATCAACATGGAAATATGACATAGAAACAACGTTGATCTGACATAGTTTTGCTCATCGAATTAACGTTGAATCAACGTCAGACGCGTCACTCTTTCAAAACTAATGGAAAATCAACTTAAAATCAACGCGTTGTTTCAACGTTATGAAAGCAAACCAATTTTCGATTTTCATTTAGCTTTGAAGAATGCCGCGTCTGACGTTGGTTCAACGTTAATTCGATGAGCAAAATCAACGTTGTTTCAATGTCATGAGAGACGTCGTTTCCATGTTGATTCAATGTCAGTTTGGGTTACCATTAACAGTGCTGTTCAAAGGGCTTTAAACGATTCCAGACGATGAATAAGGGTCTTATCAAGCGAAACGATCGTTCATTTAAAAAAATAGAGTCACAAAAATAGAGTTTGTGACTCTCCTGTTCGAACTCGTTCATCAAAATGAATGAATCTTTTTCCGAGTCAATTCGTTCATTTCGTTTGTTGAATGAACCAAATGACTCGGAAAAAAGATTTGTTCGTTTTGATGAACGAGTTAGAACAGGAGAGGCACGAACGCGCATCACAGTACACAGCAAGGCGACCATTTGAGCTTATAATACTTAAACTTTGTTTTTGTTTTTTTAAATGAGCGATCGATTCGCTTGATAAGACCCTTATTCATCGTCTTGAATCGTTTAAAGCCATTTGAACAGTTTGCATTTTGAACTGAAACTGTCTTTTGGACCTTGAACCGTTTATTACATGGAGAAAAATCCTGGAATGTTTTTCATCAAAAACCTTAATTTCTTTTCGACTGAAGAAAGAATGACATCTTGGATGACATGGGGTGAGTAAATTATTAGTAAAAGTTTTTTTTTAAAAGCGAACAACTGGGTGTTTCTAATACAGCGGCTGTGGTAATGATGGTAAGTGACATCTTTCTCTTCCCAGATAGCAAACTGACATTGAATCAACGTGGAAACATGACATCGAAACAACGTTGATCTGACATAGTTTTGCTCATCGAATTAACGTTGAACCAACGTCAGACGCGTCATTCTTTCAAAACTAACGGAAAATCAACTTGAAATCAACGCGTTGTTTCAACGTTATGAAAGCAAACCAATTTTCGATTTTCATTTAGCTTTGAAGAATGCCGCATCTGACGTTGGTTCAACGTTAATTCGATGAGCAAAATCAACGTTGTTTCAATGTCATGAGAGACGTCCTTTCCACGTTGATTCAATGTCAGTTTGCTGTCTGGGTTCTTACTGCCGTTATCAATCTCTCTCTATAATTGTTTTATTTTTACTCATTTTGACACTCGTCAAAACACCATTGTGGCAAATGGGAACACACACTCACACAAAAATACATTCACCGCTAGAAGTTTAACGTTACCCAACTGGTGACTTACTTCAGAGAAACCCGGAAATGTGAAAAGTGTCAAATTTCCGTGTCGCATCAGCTTTTTAAGGCCATTTTCAGTTAATGTTTAGTCAGATTTTGTTGGACTCGATTTATCAACGACACAAACAGAACCACAGAAATGTATTGGCCGGTTAGCCATGAACACCGTTGACGTTTGCCCTTCACAAACGTCAGCAATGCTGTTTGTGCGTCCAGTGCTCATGTTCCTGCAAATGTGGACCTTTCAGGCCTCTAGCACGAACTGACTTCGGGGTCGCGTGACGGAGATTAAAAACGTCGTCGGTTTGACCACATTCATCATGCTAAACTAAGCGTTTTCCAACACTGCCCTTCTCATGTACTTCAACGCTCTCGGCACTCCATCACTCTCGAGTTTTAACTGCGCCCGATATGAGGAGAAGAAAAGAGTCAGGTTCTTCATAAGAGCTGTCAGAAATCATCTCGTACATTTAGTGCAGGCCTGTTGCTAACATGCTGACAGCTTCTTTTTTACACCAGCACAACGCCTGGTTTTATTGTCTTTTTATACCACGTTTAATGTGTTTGGTCTTCCTGCTTTACAATGCATTCCGTCTTTTAATTAGTCCTATTATAATGCTCTTCTGATCTATATACAATATTTAATGAGGTATATAAACAAATGTGTAAAAAGGGAGAATCCACTTTGTTCTTCGCTCACTTTGATCTAATAAACAAGGACAATTATTGGACTAATGAATTAAAATAAGCCTCTAGAGTGATTAATAATCACACTGGAAAAATTAATTTGACATTAATAGGATATTTGGCAAGATAAATAGAGAGAATGGGACATGTCCGCACGTTGATAGATAATTGATAGATGGATGGCTCACTTTACAAGAATGCCTTTTTAATTAATAATTAGAAACCATAACCGCGAGCATTTTAAGTCTTACTGGTTACATTAAAGATGCTGTGTTGGATTTGAGAGGTTTTTATAATGTTACTACATCGTTGAAGTAAGTGTTCGAGAAATAAAATAAATCAATAATCACATGTGACCTGCACGTGTTAGCCAATCAGAAACGTTGGCAGGGATTGTTGCATTGTCTTTGTTTGGGAAACAATTTGAATTCTTTACAATGGCTTCAAATTAACACAGAATAAAAAAATCGACTTTATAAAACACTTTGTTTATTTTGCATGACTACTTTTGTTATTTTGCTCGATTCACTAGTAGGCTACAGTACATGTTGTTGTGTTCGGGTATATTACAGTATAACTATGCCATCACCCAATATTGGATTCAATGTTTTTGTCAACTTGTTCTCTTTCAATTAGGACTGGTTTTATTTTTTTAAATTTCTATTTGCATCTGATTCATCATAGGCCTCATTTATCTGAGAGAAGGATAAATCTCTCATTTTCTGAGTAAAAAAGCATTATTAATGAATAATTTTGAAAATATTAAATAAAATAGTAAAAAAAAAAAAGCACTGTAGATCACACTAGTCTACTTTAATGTTTCACCAGGAAGTTTGTTTTGAGAAACGTTTATTTTGTACAAAATGGCACAGAGTTTGTGGTGTTCCCCAGTCAAAAATGGCTGACTATTAAAAGTGAATGGGAGAGACTGAAAATAAGAGAAAATATTTAGTTTTCAGGAGCATGTTCATTATGTTCATGTACACATATGCGCATGTGTGCTTGCAAAATCGAGCCCTTGGACCTGTGGATACACACGCTACCCAAACACACACTCACACGTCACGGCAAAACACACAAACTATTTTGAGTATTA